AAAGTTTGCGTTGTTAAAAACTTATTCGCAGAAGATTCTGTAAAGCAGGGGTCAACAAATTTCTTAAACAGTGGGCCAGATAACTGAGAGAATGACGAGCGCGGGCCGCATAACTATTACGTTTAATATAGTATACTGAACACGCAAAAAATAAAGACAATCATCTTATTTATTTATTTACTAATAAGCAAATACGATTGCTACAGTAAGCGCGTAATCGCTTTTCATAGAAACTTCATTGCAGGTGCTTACACAAAAAGCACCATGATATCAAAAGTCGCCAAATTTTTCACTTCACCGATTTTCATAAAAATATATTACTGTCAAAACGCAAAAATCAGATTGGATCAATTTTGGTATTTGTTTCTACTTATTTCAGCTTTATCTACAGTCTACGATATTTCCATGTAAATAATTATATTTTAGCTGATTTGTGGCACAGTGCGTGGCGGGCCGGAATAACTGACCTCGCGGGCCGTACTTTCGTGACTCCTGCTTTAGAGTGATGATCTGTAGGAAATCACTAGCAGTATGAATTTTATCTGTTTCTACAGACAAGGTGTTATTTTCTTACATAAAAGAATATTCCTGTAAATTGCCAATGAAACTCGAAGTATTTCAGAAGTCTCATCAAATACAGTGTTTAAAAGCTAAAAATGTTTATGACAACCAACGAAATACTCATATTCTCATATTCTCATAACACGGAAGCATTACAGTTTCTTCACTATAATATATTTATTTTTAATTATGATTACAAATCCGAATAATGATAATTTTTTTATTGTTCTATGTATTTTTTACAAGGGCGAAGCTAGACTAACTTTACCTGGATTAACTCAAATTATGGAATGTCCTTACTTGTGTCTGAGAATTACGTAGTGATCAATACGCCTTAATAAGCAGAAAAGTATTGAAATCTAATATTATAATACAATACTGTTAGCTACAATAGCACAAGACAATACAAGAATATACGAAATTTAAACGTTGAAATGATTTTTGAATTTGTTTAGATAAATATAGAGAGAAAATTTTGATAGTTCGAACAATGACTTTAAACTAATTATTACTAGTATTCGATCAAATAGATTATTTAGCTGTAAAATATTAAAAAATATCCGAATAAAAAATAATAACATATATTTTGCCCGTGAATAAAACACAAATCTTTCTTTTCATTGGAGAATGCGTTCTGGAAAGGCGTGGTCTAAATGATTTGAATACCAATGTAAAAAAGTACTGCAAACGGTGCAGCGATTGTAAATGACGTCACAAACGTCCCAGTTTAGTAATACACTTTTACGCATCAAACTGAGGTGTTCATTGCGGATGTCCTGCCATTTATTACGTCATCTAAGCGTCTTAGCTATGCAGCCTGTTATGTTTTACACTTTCCTCCCTATTTCGGCAAGTACCCTCGTGTTGATATTGCTTGACGGTATTCACTTGTATCTCGTTTAAACGTTAATTCATTTGTTTCCACATTCCGACTTCACAAGTAAATTCAAGAAGGTAAGTAAGTAATAGTAATTATTTTCGGTAGTGGGAAATTTAATAAAACATTGGTATGAATTTTTTCAACAGAAGTATCGTCATGAGTTCTTTGGTGATAAACGTACAACCAAGAGTAGAAGATCAGAAAGATCAATTATCGATTTCGTGGAAAATTCTCTTTGTAAATATGAAAATTTTAGGTTTAAACATTCAAAAGAAAAATGTATCTGTTCATAGTATCGTATTGTCAATTATACAAAAAATCTATATTATTTGGCGTTTCTACATAATAATTTATAATTTTAAGAGTAACCACTCAGCGAAGATATTGAATCTATCAATTTCAACATTATTTACATGTATGTTAGTAATTGCTGTCGATTTATTTATTATTTACAAAAGGAATTTTATTTGCAGCATGAAAGAATTGTTCGCTTTAAGTAATTCAAAACGGTCAAATGTTAAAAGAATAATAATTTTAATGGCTCTTATTTGGATTAATGCTATAGTTTATATATGGTACTATTCTTTTGTTGTCTTACCAAAACGAAACAAAAGACTAATTGATTTGTATAATGTAAAAACATTTTTTGGAACTGCAATTACGAAAAACATTTCAATATTACTTTTAATGCTTATAAAAATGATTGATATAGTGTTTATAACAACTCCACATTATTTCTGTTTCGTACTATTCATTTTTGTCTGCAAAGAATTGGAAACGGAATTCGTCGAATTATTGCGTAAAATAGAGAAATACACGCCTGAAGACTTCTGTAGAGAAATCTCTCACATACTTGAAAAATATATGAGGATCAAGTCAGTTGTGGACAGTTTCCAGAGATTTTATTCCAAGATATTGTTAATTTGGACAATTTACTCAGGAGGAACTATCGTTTCTAATTCTAGCTGGTTCTTTTTTAGCTTAACTTTTTTTAGAAATAAATGATATTACTGTGATTTTTGCTTTGAAGGCACTTCCGTTCTTTTTATTTATGTTTCTTTGTAACGCTGCAGCTCGTGTATCTAACGCTGCAAAAAATATATCAGCGGTTGTCTACACAAAGTCACTTTCTTGTAATGCTTTCGTGCAAGATTGTGCATACAAATTTTCCATGAAATGTCTTCAAGATACTCCTCAGTTTACGGGATGGAACATATTTGTTATCGATCGCGCTTTGGTGTTCACTATTATCGGGATAGCAATTTCCTACACTATCATAATGACCCAGTATCAATCATAATTATTAGGTGTTAAATCTTATAGATCGATATTTCTTACGCAAACAAAAATTAATATAGTTAGGAAGTTACTGTGTATTTATTTCTGTTAAAATAAATTAATTGAAAAAAAACGATCACTGGTGGTTTGTGGCTTTATTGATATACGGCGACATATTGAGTCGAAAATGTTTTCTGGCTTTTCTTTAGTTTTTACAGAAGTCAAAAAAACCCAGGAAACTCCAAGTGTTCAGTTCACTGTTTATGTAAAAACCCGCGACCAAATATTAGTGCATATTGTTGTATATTATGTTTCAAAGACATTATCATCATTGAAATTATTTTTTATTAGAATTATTCTGTTTTACAAATGTCTTATACAAATAGAAACAATTGATTTTTTGTGTAATTGTTTATTTATTTCTAGTCTTTTTTTTGTATTTAAGCAGCATATGAACAGAAATTAATTATATTTACCAAGTATTATATTTTGAATTTTCGTGAAACTTTTTTTGTACATTTACTATAATAATAATAAAATAATAATTTGCAATTTACATTTGCTGTTTTTTTAAGTTTCTTTTTACGTTTTTTATTAGAATATACATTATTTTTCACCTTACCGTATTTTGCAATTTATATTGTTATTAATAATAATCATCAGATTTGGTATCCAAATTTATATTGTGAAAAATGTTTTCTGTGGCTCAATAAAGTAAACAGTTGAAGTTATTATAAAGTTTTATATGGCAGCATATGCTTTTCAAGTTAAATATATACATTTTTAAAATTTAAAGTAAAGATTACAGATCCATATAGCATTGTTGCTACAAATAATGTGCAGCAAGATTTTCTGAGATGCACGAAACTAATATGGGATAATTTATAATATATGAAAAGTAGACTTGTTCTATAAACAGATTATTTATTTTTTTATTTTACTATATAGCTCCAGCATCCTGATCATCAGTAAAAAATTAAATGTATCTTTGGTTGAAAATGGAATAGCTTACTTGTATTAAATTTTTGTATTTTGTATTCGTTTATTGTATTCTGTTCTAAAAGTTGATAAAATTATTTGGAAATGAATGCAGTCAATTTTATGATATTTAATCATCTGTATTTTTTCAGAATTCTGTTTATTTTTTAGCAAAGCATATAACGTAGTTTAATATCAGCTTATTTGTGAGGATTTGTTAAGGTTTTATTTGATACTTTGTTCGTAATAGTAATTTCCAATGTCATTATCATATTAATAGGAAGCATAATTTTTCAGTATGATGATGCCAAGGTTTTAGAATCAGATTTGAAATACCATTTGCTGAAATAAACCACTCTGATAATAATGGAAGTCTTTACTATAATGGAGTTTATTACAGTATACTATACCTCTATCAATTCTACTACAAATGATTAAATTCACTATAGCGAAAATTATATTGTAATAACTTACTTTATGTGAAAATTGCATTTACTTTATTTTATTACTTTGAATACTACTGTAGTATAATAGTTTAGTGTTATATATGAGTTATACCAGATTTTAATTCAGTTTTATTTAGTCATTTTTATATAATATAAGATTATTTATATAAATTGCATTCATAAACATTGAAATTTCTTTTTCTTTTGCAAATAATAAAAGTTTTAAAAGTATCAGAATACTAAAGGCCTTATAGCAGAAATATTTTATATATAATAAATACTTTTTCTTTTTGATAATTGTAATTACTTAGCCTCTGAGTAACAGGGCTCCTATCTTTTATAATAATAAAGATTGATGATGATGATGATGATAAAATACCATTTTGTGTGTATTGCTAACTGTAAATAAAGAATGCTTTATTCCATTCCAGCAATATCAATTTTCTCTTATCTCAATGATAAATTATTTTGTAATATTAATAATCATAATAATATATTTTATTACATTGAAAATTTCTTAACTTAATTCCACCTTTGATAGTGCATATTTTTAAATTAAAAAAATATTATTTCCTTTTTAAGTCATTTGTCATGATTCAGTTTCAGAATTTGATATTCTTAAGAAAAGAAAACCAAATTAATTCATGATTGAACCTAAAAAATATGTATTTAGTAAAAAACTTAAAAGTCAGTTTTTCAAAAAGGAATATAGTATCTGAAAGTGTAAAGTTTCTCTGATGGCAAGCATTACCACATTTTATACTTATTGCATAGACTTTTTTTATAGGATAATTACAATTTCTAATTACAAAAGAGTAAATAATTTTTTAATCTTTCTCAATATATATTGTTAATGCTATACTTATTAATTTTTTAGAGTCAGCAGAAGTCCACAAATGTCACCTATCAAGCACATCATGTCTCAAGAGACAAGAGAGGGCAGATTATGGGCCAGAGGGGTGGTTTTAGAGGATGCACTATATGGTTTACAGGTAACTTTTTAAAATTATGCTTATGCAAACACACAAAAATTTTTATAAAAATTGTTAAATATGTACATATAAATTCTACCCGATATAATCCGGTAGTTGTTTGGCTTATTAATAATATATCAGGTTTCGTGATGTTTGTATATGCATATAAATTCTTTTCAAGAATTCAAAACACAGTAAAACTGTCTAAAACAGAACTTCTACAAAATGGAAAATAAATCCACAATGTAATTGTTTGTTGCATAAAATACTATTTTTAGCTGGAATCTTGAGAATGGAAGACTTTTTGGATACTAACTGCACACTATAATCTTATTAAAACAGAATTGTTTGCATAACAGCAACCAAATTTTAAATTATAATTATTACTCTAACTTGCAGGATTGGAACATAGGTGACTTCTCAGGAGTGGCTTGTCATAAGTACTATGGAACTGCAACATTCCAAAGAAAAATAAAATCATAGAACATCATATTTTTATTATATAGTAATATATAAATTATTATACACAGTTAAAATTTTATGAAAACAGTATGTGAAAAAAATGATTTTGTTAGGGTAGTTGCATTCCTTGCACCCTTCTGCAGACAATACTGTTAAACAGTGCTATGTTATCTCCCACTAAGAGAATAGTCCCATTTGTTTGACCACTGTGTCTCATGATACAATGAATTGCTTAATACAGTCCTGCACTGTTTAGCAGTACTGGCACAGTGTGGCTGCATAGCAGGAATTTAGTTACTGGGTCAGAGCAGAGGTGAAAAGTACTCTGACCTTTAAACATTAATATGAAAATGACAGAAATTTCACATCTTGAATTAATTTATTTTAATTAAATAAAAAATTATTTTATGAATGCAATATATTAAGTATTGTATATATAGTTTGTTATGTAAAGTAGTGGTTGTTAACCCCATATTAGACAGTCACAAGCTGCCACTGTCAGAGAACAAGCTGTCTAGAAGTGCTTGTTTCCTGGGAGTAACAAACATTTAAAAAATAGTGTGTATTATTTGAGGAGAAAATATTGCATAATATAGAGCTTTTAGCAAAAAAAAAGTAGTTATTAAAATTAAAATTAATATATACATAGTAAACAACCCAATATATTCATATTGCCAAACAATCTGTCCATTCAATTTATTGTATTTTATATTGATGTCTTATTTATGATACAACTATTTTATAGCATACTATTCTATCTTTATTATATTATTTCTACTTTATAAATTAATGTTAAGTTAAAGTTTTATAATTATTATTATTTGATAATTACCATATAATTACTACATTACTCTTATATTGTCTCTGAGAATAATGGTTCTTAGAAATTTATTTTCATTACTCTTAATGTCAGTAATATAGTAGTGAGTGAATTTTGGCCAGTTTTAAGAATTTCACATGGAAATGGTTGCTTTTGTCTAGCTAATATAAAGTAGAAACGTTTTATTTTAAAATGTTTTGCTACAACTGTTTGTTAACTCTTATTTATGAAAAATAAGAATATGTCATACAGTGGTGTGCAGTGACATTTGATAATAGAGAAGCTGTTTCCATAAAAATTTTAAATAAATACTGGAAATGACAAAAATAAACGGTTTATTTATTTTAATTCTAAAATAGATAACTGACATGAAACAAAGATATAAGAACCTGTTTTTATTATTTTTATATAAACTAATTCTATTCAGCAATTTTTTCTGCAAAGTCGTTAATTACTTTATCATAAAAATTGCTTGTCGTTGATTTCATCAAAGTATTTAAAAACTCTTTTTCTATTGAAAGCAATGGTAGTGAAGACAATCTTTCCTCTGACTGAGTGTTCTTTGCAAGTGCACGAATTTTCTTCATGGTTGAAAAACTGTACTCAATAGATGCACTCATAGATGGTACCATAAAAATCAATGATATTAAATGATATAATTTTTTTAGTATATCTTTGTTTAGAATGTCATTAATTATAATATTTTTTATGTCTAAGAGTGACTTGCGAATATAGTTGGGACATAAATATAAATATTGCAATTCACCAGGTAATTTAGATAAATCAAAAAATTCTCCATAAAATTTACTTAATTTTAAGAATTAAAACTCACTTTGGAAAATTGTTTTTCATAATATTTAAAATTATTAACATCTAAAAGTGATAAAAATTCTAAAGATTTTGTGTGTGAAAATCTGTCAAAATAATTATAATTAAATATAGCTTTGTAAAAAAATGTACATAAAAATACCTTTGAATATTCTTTACTTTAAATCTTAAAACAATGCACTTAGTCAAATAGCTCCCTACCAGTGGCTAATGGATAGAATTATTGGAAGCGTTATACAATATTTTGGTGTGTAGCATCTATGAGCTAAACTGCCAGAGGTTGGTGCTCTGTAAAGTGCATGCACAAATGCTTGCAATCTGGCTGCTTTACACAGTTCAAATATTTTTGCTGTGAAAGCTGTTCGTATTCGACAATACAGTGTTTCCATTGGGAATGTGCATATATGAATTTATATTTGAATATACAATAGCATTCTTATCATTATTTTTCAAATGTATAGAAATTTGTAATAAAATACATAATGCAGTTATAATAAAATATTAATTTTAAGTAATTCAAAGTATGTTTAAAATATGAAAATAATTGTACAATATGTATTTATAATTTAGAAAATACAGGGAAGCAGTGCTTCCACAGTTTCCATGGACTGCACGTCACTGATGTCATTAATTTTTTGCCACATAATCTGCAGATTATCTATCACACTATATTAAGGCTAATAACTAATCAGATCCAAATCAATTTGGCTAGATGTAGGCAGTTAAGCTACCATCTCTTGATAAATTTAATAAATTTATAAAGATACAAATTGATTTGTATTTAATTAGTTATTAGCCTTAATATTATTTGATAGATAATATGGCAGATTGGCAGTAAAATTAGTTTGATGTCCTATTTTTTTCAAAAATAAAAGTTAACAAACAGTTGTAGCAAAACATTTTAAGATGAAACATTTCCACTTTTTCTTATTACTATATTTCCACTATATTAGTTTGACAAAAACAACTAGTTCCATCTGGCAAAATTCTTAGAAATGGCCAAAATTCATCACTATATTACTAACACTAAGAATAATGAAAATAAATTTCTAAGAGCCATTAATCTTACAGACAATATAAGAGTAATGTAGTAATTATTAAATAGTAATAATAAAACTTAATATTAATTTAAAAAGTATAAACAATATAATGAAAATAGAATAGTATGCTATAAAATAGTTATATCATTAATAAGATATAAATATAAAATATAATAAATTGAATAATACAATGGATACATCACAATAATGTGTTGAGTTAGTTAGTGACAAATTATTTTATACAAAAATTTAAATTTTCTTATTTGTAAAATTCAATATTGGCTTTTTCTGTTCTTGCATGTTGAAAATATCTGTTTTATTTGTATGTAATGAAATGGATATTGATAAAAAAAATGCTAAATTCAGGAAACTTAAACCAAATTTTTTTTATTCAGAAACATTCTTGTTCTTTTCAAAAACAAAAATGTTTCTGAATAGAATATTTAATTTTGGTTTCCTGAATTTAGTATTTATTCTCATCATTTTGAACATAGTGCTAAGTGCCAATGTTATATCTGTTAAAACGGATAAAATAATTGGTGATAAATAAAAAAGATTTCAGTGTTTAAATTTTTCCTGAAAGTATTTTTTGAAATATATACTGTATATTTATTTACATTTATATCTGTTTAGTTCTTTGATATATTTTATTTAAATTTAATATGTATAAAAATTTTAGATATTTCAGATAAAAATATTTTTTAATTAAAGAACAATTATTTTTTTCTTTTTTTTAGAAATAAAAATCAAATTTTATATAGTAGAAAATTATTTAATAAATCTCTCTTATTTCTACTATAGAAGAAAACCTATATTTCATAAAACAAATCTACACTAATTTAGTTTATAGAATTTTTAATATAAAATTTAAAACTATTACTAAACATTATTCATAATTACCTCTCTATTTTATATCTTTTTATCTTGGAAATCATCTATCCAAAATGTTTATTTAAACTGATAGATTTTGAAGTTTTTTGGATATATTGAATACTTTCTGTGAAACTTACTGTGTAAAATGGCCAGAAAACCTTAGGTAAATAATTAGACATTTCTTAACTTAGTGAAATAATGTATTTTTTATTTATAAGTAGTATGATCATTACTCTACAACCAGAATGTTAATTAAATACTAAAATATTTCCAAAAATCACCAGGATGTATTCAGCTAATTAAATTATTTATTGATTAGAGAATCTGAATTCCTTATAAAAATATGTTACCTATGTGTAGTTCAAATTTTCTTATCATGAAATCATTTAATTAGTCTGTCATAAATCACTGGAGTATAATTAATCTTTGGTATTTGTTTATAAATATATGAAGCTGTAATAGGATTTAGAATTGTTTAATAATATATGTACTGTACATAATTAACATTTAGACTATCCACAAAACACAATTAGACATCTTGCATAACAATTCGTCACACAAGGAGTCCTGAATAATTTCATGCTTTCCACCACATCATCAGAGGCTATTAGTCACTAAATACTACACCAAAAACCCACAACTGAAATTCTGAAAATCTTAAAACTCAGAATCATTCAAATCTGCCAAATTCCAGTTCTATGAGTAGACAAATTCTAAGATCAAAAATTAATCTTTCTTCACCTTAACACATCAGGTTCTACTTAAATTTAAAAAACCACTAAAGATGAAAAAATCGTCATGCAAAGTATTACATAACCTAGAAAAACTCAAAGTCTTTCCAATGTTTCTTAACTTTTCAATCAAGAGGATTGAATCTTTCCATTTTTCATAATTCAATTCTATATCCTCTCTGTCTTTAATAATAACTAATATGAAGTTCAAACTATTTTTTTTGAATCTATAATTTTTCAGCTTATGATATATGATATATTCTTGTCATCTTTTATTTCCTCTCTTGTTATGTTATTTAAAGACTGTGAGTATCCCTGTTGGTGACCAGCCTGATTAAAAGTAACTTTAAACTCTATGTAATGATTTTTGTGACTTCTCCATTAAAGTAGTGCTTTATGGATTATGATTCTTGCAGATTGGTGTTGATTTTGCACTTTGACTAACAAATAATTGTATAAAAATTAATATTGTATTGAATGTAATTCAGTCTTTAAAAATGTTTAAGATGGAATATCCTGTAAAATACATTTTGTTTTTGTTTATATTAATGTTGTCAAATAATTACAAATTAACATATCATTATGTTTATGAGCTATATAAGAACTACATAGACTGGATTTGCTCAAGTCACATTTTTGACAAAATTATTATATATTATGATAATTAGTTTATTACATCTTACAAATGTATGTCAAAATATACATTTTATAAATCATTATTAAATGTGCTTGATTCATTTTTAATCACTAGGGCTGTCTGGTGCTGGAAAAACTACCATTTCGTTTGGTGTAGAAGATTATTTGTGTTCTTTTGGAATTCCAGCATATGCACTTGATGGAGATAATATTCGACAAGGTCTTAACAAAAATTTAGGATTCAGTCCCGAAGACAGAGAAGAGAATATCAGACGTGTAGCAGAAGTTGCGAAATTATTTGCTGACAGTGGTGTAGTTTGTTTGTCTAGTTTTATAAGTCCATTTGCTAAGGTGCATTTATAATTTGAAAAGTTTTATGTAACAAATACAAGGTTTTGATTTTTTTTTATTTTGTTATCTGATTGCAGGATCGTACGCAAGCACGTATAATTCACGAAGAATCTGGTCTTTCATTTTTTGAATGTTTTGTAGATACACCTTTAGAAGTGTGTGAATTAAGAGATGTCAAAGGTTTATACAGAAGAGCTAGAGCTGGAGAAATCAAAGGTTTTAATAATAAAATATCTCATATTTTTTAATGTTAGTATATAATTAAATTATTTATATTAAAATTTAATTTTGCTTGTTAGGATTTACTGGAATTGACTCTGCTTATGAGAAACCTGTTCAACCTGATTTAACAATCAAAGCAGGAGAACTAACTGTTCATGATTCTGTTCAGCAAGTGATAAAATTGTTATTAGATAGAGTACGTTGGTTAAATTATAATTTATATTATTTAATTTATTAATAACAATAATAATCTGAATCTCATCAATTTTTAAATTATTAAATTATTTCTAAACTAGGGAATTATTCCAGAAACTGTATTAGATACTGTGAAAGAGTTATTTGTACCTACAAATAGAGTTAGTTCAGCGCGTAAGGAAGCCGATGCTCTTCGAGGATTAGAAATCACAAAAGTTGATTTGCAATGGGTTCAAATTTTAAGTGAAGGATGGGCCACACCTTTATGTGGATTTATGAGAGAAAGAGAATTTTTGCAAAGTCAACATTTTGGTTGTCTTTTAGAAGGTATAAAAAAAATTAGCTGTCTGAACATAATATCATGAGAATGACCATTTTTTATTGTAATCTTAATAGGTGGTGTTGTGAACCAGTCTATACCTATAGTACTGGCTTTATCTAAAGAAGATAAAGAAAGACTTGAAGACTGTTCTGCATTTGCTCTTCGTTACAATGGAAAAAGTTATGCAATTTTGCGAAATCCTGAATTCTACGNGCTTCAAAAAGAGTGAATAAAATCGTGTCTCTCCCACATTAACATCCATACAATCAGTAAAACCGCCGAATTTTTAAGAAAATTTTTTCAGGTGATCAAACCAATAGCACGTTATACCTTCGTAAAGCTAGGCAAATTTGAATTAGGAGCCCCGTGTACATTCTATTCTATTCTAATAAATATACTTTTGTAACAGACTGTATAAAAACTAAATTTATGCAGGAAACATTATTCAGGGGGCATTTGAATTAAATGAAACAATTTCATATGGATGTTATATGTGGATAAAAGTTATATGATTGCACTTTATATTCTACATTGCATGAATCTTGGAAAAAATTCTACATTCCAAAAGTACTCCTATATATTTTATTACATAAACCAAAATACCTTACAGACAATATATTATATTTTTACACACATCTTACGAATCAAATTTATTTAAATAAATTATATTAAGAATGAAGTGAAACCTTCATTGGAGTACAATTTAAAATAAACTGCTTATATTGAAACATCCTCTATTAAAAACACTATATAAACTACTGTACAATAATTATTAAAACTCATTATTTGTCTTTTCTTTTTCTTGCATTAGCAATTCAATGCCATGAATGGCCTCTTGTCTGTTTCTGGAATTCAAGTTTCTCAATCTCAATAATTTTGTCACATAAATAATTATAGACTAATTATAAAGCATGTGAACCACCGGGGAGGTCGGGATCGTCGACTCTCCCTTTTCGGCCTCAGGTCGTTAAACCTATGCACTAGCCAAGGTGGCTAAATTTCGAATGCGGTCCCGAAGGGTCAGGATACTTTTGTCAGGTCGAGTGGAGGAAATGAGAGGGGTCGTCGACGAGGCTTAGGCGATATACAAGTAAAAGGACACAATTGAACAATGAAACAACGATTTATTAGACTAACGAAGCAAAAAAAATAAAGGATACAAAATCTAACATGGGGAAATGAATTTATCTCACTATTAGCTCCTAACTCGCGGAGAGAGAGTTTACAATTATTTGTTCATACCTCTAGTTTACTTCCACGTAGGTGGGAAAAATTTAGTCCTTTTTTTGCCGGTGATCGATGCACACAGTTCGACGCACAAAGTTAAAGTTTCCCGGAGACTTAATTAATCCTCTAGACCGTAGATGTCAGACTCCCCCGAGGAAAGGGAAAGAAGTTGCTTTTATAGCTTCGGACTGGGAAAATCAGTCAGGTGATCTCCTATTGTGTGAGATAGAGTTGGTCCTGCAGGTGTGGAAGTTAAAGTTGTTTCCGGGATCAAAACAAAATGACGAATTCGGACTTTAACTATAAACTTTTTGTCTTGCAGCAGAGGAATGTCATTGTTCGAGGGTTGAATGTTTATATTAACGATGAAAGTTATAAGTTGCGATCGATATTTGATTCTTTTTTCTGACAATGTTATTTTAACGAGGAGGCGACAAATTTATTTTAAATACGTCGAAAATTTAGGGGGGAAATGAACAAATTTTGGGCTTATTCTGAGGTCGGATCTCAAAAAGCATAATAAGTATATTACTTACTTTGATTGAGTGAGTGACACGCAGGATACTATTTCCAGATTATCTTCTAGATTATTTTCATCTTCATGTATTAAATTTGAAATTTCCCTTAAAGGGGACATATTGTTAACTGAACTGTAGAGAAAAAAATTAAATTCTATATTGAAAACAAATCAGGTAGATAGTAGTTTAAATTTTAGTCAAAAAACAGATATAAATGAAAGAATAATAATCCCTGCAGCTATATTCTATAACTAAAAGCATTTATTTTAAATTATTTTATTTTTTGTTAATTGCTTAAAAATGAGTTTTTAAGGGGTATTTTCTTCACGGCAATTTTTTCGATAGATTTATTATTTCGATAAAATCGTGTCTAGATAGGCTACTAAATATCTACGTATCATCAATTAATGAAACTGTGACATTAATAAACTTACCTCGCACATTCACTCATAGAATCTCTTAGGACGCTGTCCATGAGATCATATAAATGCCACGTGGTTTTGTAAATGTCTCTTATCCCACTACCACTGGCTAAACTCTCTCGAATTTTTTTTCTCTCCCTATTGTACCGATCCCTCTGCACCTTCCATTTTTGTTCTGCTTCATTTCCTACTTAAAACATTTTATAATTAAACGATTCCATTTTAGGAGTTCGATGCAGTATATCAAACTTTCTTACCATTCAATTCAAATTTCACGGCTATCGCACTCCAAATAGTGTGTTTCAAACCTATATCTTTAAATTCCTTACATTTCTTGTCATATAAACATCTGTACTTTCTCATTTCTTCTATAAATAATTTCAAATCAACTTGCTTTCTCATTCTCTTAGGTAAACTTTCCGCCATTGTGTCTATTTCAAACTGNTATATATATATATATTACAACATAATATGCAAACTGGAAATGAGTTAACAATAATAATAAGTTATTTTTCTACAAATTCTTTTTAATCCATTGATTCGCTTTTCAAATCAAATCTTCTGAAAATTTAAATATTGACACTGGATGTCACTTCACTTTATATTTTCCTACGCAACCAGGTATATAGCACATACAAGGCATGTAGAAATAGTTATTCATTTATATGGTAATATTATTTTAACATAAAATATAAAAAGTGTTTAAAAAATAGCTTACTATGAAAACATTACAGTACGAATGCAACATTACTTTTTCCTAATACTTATATTTATAAACAATTTTTATGATGAAATGTATGGAAATTCTTATTTAAAGCATTTATAACTATTACATTCAAAGGAGTTTAAATACTTACAGTTTTATTTATTGTTTAATAATTTATACAAGAATTCTATACTTTAAGTTTCAAAAATGGTCATAAATATTTGATGAAACATATTTACAGATATATCTATTATGGAACTGGATGTATGAAATTTCTGTAAATTTGAAAAGTATTGTTTCTTAACAGTGTTTCTGAACTGACATTCAAAAGCACAGTCTTCTCTATTGACAGAAAGAACTGGTGCGGCCCGATGGCCGAGCGGTCAAGGTGGCAGCATACTGCTCTGGGAGACCCGGGTTCGAATCCGAACGGGTCGAAAAATCCCCAGGAATTTTTTGGGGGTGGTCTGTTTGGATATGTCGGGCCCCGTCTTTCACTACCCGGCAGCCCCATTGTAGGCCTGACCGAACCCATAATGGGTTTGCAAAAAGAGGCCTTCTTAGTGCCCACAGGGCGGAAAGAGTTTAAAAAAAAGACAGAAAGAACTGTCATTCCCAACTAAAGTATTAAATTTTTTTTTGATGTTATCTATGGAGAATACTCTTTATTGAAAATTGTTCAATAACTTTTACATTTAAGCTTGTTAAGCAAGATTTGTGAAAATTTCCTCATTCAGATGTATACAAAATTTATTATTTAGTTAATTTTATTGTTTAATCTAACTATATTAAATACGTATGACAAATTCAAAGAATATTCTTACTTATCTTAATTAATTATAAATTTTATCCTTTTTCGATCTTTTCATGAATAATATCTGTAACAAAGTATAAATTTTCTGTTATTTATTATCTGTGCACGTAAATTTAAAACACTAATCGCACTATTAAAATTATCTATTGTGTATGATTTGGTTCAGAGGTACTGCACATAATGATCAAGTATGAAGTTAANGTATATTACTTACTTTGATTGAGTGAGTGACACGCAGGATACTATTTCCAGATTATCTTCTAGATTATTTTCATCTTCATGTATTAAATTTGAAATTTCCCTTAAAGGGGACATATTGTTAACTGAACTGTAGAGAAAAAAATTAAATTCTATATTGAAAACAAATCAGGTAGATAGTAGTTTAAATTTTAGTCAAAAAACAGATATAAATGAAAGAATAATAATCCCTGCAGCTATATTCTATAACTAAAAGCATTTATTTTAAATTATTTTATTTTTTGTTAATTGCTTAAAAATGAGTTTTTAAGGGGTATTTTCTTCACGGCAATTTTTTCGATAGATATTTGATTTAATATTTCGATAAAATCGTCTCTAGATAGGCTACTAAATATCTACGTATCATCAATTAATGAAACTGTGACATTAATAAACTTACCTCGCACATTCACTCATAGAATCTCTTAGGACGCTGTCCATGAGATCATATAAATGCCACGTGGTTTTGTAAATGTCTCTTATCCCACTACCACTGGCTAAACTCTCTCGAATTTTTTCTCTCTCCCTATTGTACCGATCCCTCTGCACCTTCCATTTTTGCTCTGCTTCATTTCCTACTTAAAACATTTTATAATTAAACGATTCCATTTTAGGAGTTCGATGCAGTATATCAAACTTTCTTACCATTCAATTCAAATTTCACGGCTATCGCACTCCAAATAGTGTGTTTCAAACCTATATCTTTAAATTCCTTACATTTCTTGTCATATAAACATCTGTACTTTCTCATTTCTTCTATAAATAATTTCAAATCAACTTGCTTTCTCATTCTCTTAGGTAAACTTTCCGCCATTGTGTCTATTTCAAACTGCACGTGACAAATACACGTAATTACGCGTCACAAAATCCTCGCGTTTTTATTGGTTGCAGTACGACAGAAGCGACGAACGAAAACGGAAAAGTTAAATAATTTTTAACTCTGCTTTCAGTCTTGTTTCTGTCCAACAGAACGTTCCAAAACCGGAAGTTTCGTCAGTTTGGCTTTCAGTTTTACGATTACGTCGCGGATTCCGGTAATGTGGAGTCCAGGCTTTACTGCTGTATTTACACGCGTTTGTTCATTGTTATTAGAAGAAAAGCCATTAAATTTGTTAAGCCCCAACAGACCTAGGTCTGTTAGGCGATGTTATAGGGTCAACGCACAGACACATTAAATTAAGGACTTTACAATTATGGTGGAATTTAAGTAATAAGGTTTAATCATAAATATATACAAAAATGTTAATCTATTTAAACAACATGAGAGGAACATAAATCCATTAACATTTACGGGATAGGAACACA